CATGAGTATGCATATATCTATTTGTGTCCCACATCTCCCTCTTTAAGATATATTCCTACTAGTGGAATTGCTGGATCAAATAATATTTCTGTTCCCAACGCTTCTCAGGAGCACTCTTTTCCACAGTGATTGTACCATTTTATCGGCTCACCAACAGTGTATGAGAGTTCAGTCTCTTCACACCCTCACCGTTATTTGTTGTTTTCTGTCTTGTTGAACTTTGCTGTTACTGTTCAAATGAGATGATATTTCATTGTTGTTTTGATTTGCAACTGTCTAATGGCTAATGATCTCAAGAGTTTCTTCATGTGTTTGTTGGCTGCCTGAATATCTTTTTTGGTGAAGTATCTGTTAATGTCCCTTGCCCATTTTTTAAGTGGATTGTTTGTCTTTTTGATGTTGAGGTATTGAAGTTTTCAGTAAATTTTAGAGATAGGTCCCTTGTCGGATATATCATTGCCAAATATTTTCTCCCAGTCTGTAGTTTCTCTTTTTACTCTTTTGGAGAAGTGTTTTGATACACATAAGAATTTAATTTTTAGAAGGTCCCAGTCATCTAGTTTCTCTCTTGCTCTTTGTGCGTTTTGGGGTATGTTTGAGAGTCTATTTATGCCTTAAATTAGGGCCCCTAAGTTTGCCCCTCTTTTATCTTTGATGAACTTTATAGTTTTGGGTTTTACATTTAAGTCTTTGATCCATCTTGAGTTCATTTTTATTTATGGTGTGAGGTGTGGATCTTGGTTCATTTTTCTGCAAAAGGATGTCCAGTTTTGCCAGTACCATTTGTTAAAGAGACTGTCTTCCCCCACTGAATGGGTTTCTGCCCTTTGTCAAAGATCAGCTGTCTATATGTGGGTGGATCTGTTAAACTACTCTATCACTGTGTTGTTCTTAGGTGCTGTTGAGTCAGCTGTGACTCAGTGACCCTGTGCACAACAGAACAAAACACTGCCCAGTCCTGTGCCAGCCTCACTGTCCTTGCTATTCCTGAGCCCATTGTTTCAGCCACTGTGTCATTCCATCTTGTTGAGGGCCTTTCCCTTTTTCACTGACCCTCCCCTTTACCAAGTATAATATATCCTTCTCCAGGGAAGGGTCCCTTTTGACAGCATGACCAAAGTAGGTGAGACAAAATCTGGCCATTCTCACTTCCAGGGAGCATTCTGGCTGTATATCTTCCAGGATAGATACGTTAGTTCTTCGGGCAGTCCATATTACTTTCAGTATTCTTCGCCAACACCATAATTCAAAGGCATCAACTCTTCTTTGGGCTTCCTTATTCATTTTTCAGCTTTCACATGCACATGAGGTGATTGAAAACACCATGTGAGTTAGGTGCACCTTAGTCTTCAGAGACATCTTTGCTTTTCAGCACTTGAAAGAGATGTTTTGCAGCAGATTTGCCCAGTGCAATATGTTGTCTGATTTCTTGACTCCTGCTTCCATTGCTGTTGATTGTGGAACCAAACAATATGAAATCTTTGACAACCTCAGTCTTTTCTCCATTTATCTTGATGCTGCTCATTGGTCCAGTTGTGAGGATTTTTGTTTTCTTTTTGTTGAAGTGTAATGCATGCTGCAGACTTGATCACTAATCATATTCAATTAAGAATATTCATTTCTTTGTACATAATCTAGGAAGTGGTTAAACTGGAATTCAGTTCAATGTCTATCTGTATCACAAAGCTTATATTCTCTCCACAATACTGTACAGCTTCTCTCTTAGTCCCCAGAAATGTTCATAGTACCCAGGCAGGAGATAAAGTCTTGAGATTAATAACATTTCATTAAGCAGCAGCTTCATTATTGAATACTGATAGCTGTATACTAGATGAGCAACAATCATGAGATGGGTAATTTAATAATTTCTTGTTTTCCTTTTTCTGCTGTGAATAGTCCCATGACCCATCCCTTTCCCCTGGACTTTTGTGGTAGCGTAGAGTGAGGGCAGCCAGAAGGTAGCAATGGAGTAAAATAAACAAATTGAAAAGTCCTTAGATCAAGAAGTCTAGGAAAAAAAAAAAGTCTGTAGTGAAAATTTGATTCTACGATAATTGAGAAACACAGGTTCTTCATCTGTGATTTTTCACCTCACTCCCAAAGTAAAAGCTGTCCTCTTAAAAGAAGAGGTTGCAAACTGGTGATCTGTATGCAAAGATGTATGTTTGGCCCACCAGTATTTTCCTTTTTATAGTAAAGGAGGAAACACTTAAAAATTGGGAAATTTCACAGTAAATAAGATTTCTTATTTATTTTGCCAAGTGAGAAGATTTAGCAACTAACTCTGAGTCCCACATCCTTTGCTAACTGGCTGCTGTCTCCTTGAAGTGAGACAAACCAATGCCTCCCATTCCCAGTCGACCTGTGGTCTCCCACTTCTCTCATGGGCATTTCCTGTCTGACGCTGCCAAACCAAAAAAAAAGGGGGGGAGCTCTGGTGGCATAGTGCTGCAGTTAAAACCCACCAGCCACTCCGTAGTGATAGCGCCTCAGAGTCTGAAGGAGGGGTCACTATGAATTGTATCCTACTCGATGGCAGGCATTTAAATTTATGAAAGCTATTTTAAAGTATAGATGATAGAATCCACAGAACTCTAGTTTATCTGCCTGCTTTTGCTGTTCTGTGGATGGTCATTTTAAAGTTTATGAAGAGATATTACTTCATTAAGTCATATATAATATTCAGGTCCTAGAGAGTCTTTAGCGTTATCACAGATCCTCAAAAGGCAGGGAGGAAGTATTGGTTGAGGACTTCATATTAAGCTATACCATGTAATGTCTTCTTAAATTGATCATAATCCTTAGTAGTAAGCAGTGTTACCATTTTATGTATTAAGAAAGTGAGGCCAAAGTCATATAGCTAATAAGAAGTAAAACTGGTTCAAAACAGGTCAGTCCTTTTCCAAAGCTCATGTTCTTTCCACTATAACATATTGCCTGTATCTCAGTCCCAGGAATTGTCCATATTATCCTTCAACATACTATTTATATTACCGGTTTATAGGCAGGGAGAGCATTTTCATGCTAACATGCATTGTTGATTTTATATCATATTATCGAAGTCCCTTTGCTTTTTGCACTTATTTGTGCTTATGTTGCTTGACAGTTGATAAAGAATCAATATAATATTCAGAGCTGTCTGTTAACAAAGTAGAGTATGTTCTTTTCTTTGAAGTTTTCGCTAACACTTTTCCCTTTGCTGGACATCCCTCCACTTGTAAATGGAAATAGAAGCATCTATTCAAGAATTTATAATCTTTAAAAAAAATAATAGTGAGAAAGTGACATGATAACAAATGTTGTTGTTGCTATGTGCCGTTGAGTCGGACCTGACTCAAAGCAATCCCTCCTTGGGCTTCTGAGGCGGTATGACTATGGAAGTAGATTGCCCAACCTGCCTTCGGAGGAGTGGCTGGTGGGTTTGAACCGCCGGCCTTCTGGTTAGCAGTCAATTGCCTTAAGCACTACGCTACCAGAGCTCCCTATGATAACAAATGGATACCTATAAGAATGCAAGCTATTAAAAAAAAAAGGACAATGACATATAGATAAGGGTAGTTGCTAAAGAGACATAGTTGAAACTGGTAATCATTTAGTTATCTAAGTCCATCTATGCTAAAAATCATCAGGAAGCAGAGCCCACTCCAGATTCAGGAGTAATAAAGACACACATCATGTGGTGTTAAAACCATAGTGTGGGAGGTCTTCCTCTGTTCTTAGATCAAACCTTAAGGCCAAGTGCACTTGCACTGTGAGTAATAATAAAAATAACTTGAACTTCTCACCCATAATAAGCACAATTAATCTGACTCTGAAGAAATAATTTAAGACAGTTCAGCAAATCATTTATATCGCCTTCATTTTCCAAGGTTTGCATTATATAAACTATTGAATAGTTTTGTACTCTCCTCCTTACATAGTTTAGGTCATTATTAGAGATGCTAGAGCTGTATTTCAGCCTCTGGTTAATTGTGGTAACCACATTTTCACTTTGGCTCTGATGGTATTTTCATATCATACCAGACAAGTTGGCAAAGCCTAGACATTTTCTCTGCTTTTGTGGTCAGTCCTTTCTTTCTCCTTCATGTTTAGGTTCTTTTGTAAGCATTTCACAATTACCATCAGCATTTGTTAAACCTCTCTATCTGTATGTAGGTCACTGGGGTGTGCGAGGGGCCATTGAGAGCTGTTTGAAAAAATTAAAAGGCATGAGAAACAGTCCTGTCTATTAAGTGAAGTAAAAGATGTGCAAAAACTATTGATTTGATTCTGGATTAGACTTTTTGAGCATTTTCACTTTTGGACTAGTACAGATCTTATAAACAACTATTTGTATAAATAAAAAATGTTTTAGAACCTGTAATTAGAAAACTGGTTCCTAGCAATGTCTTGAAAATGCTAGTGTAACATTTATTGAATTTGATTGTTTAGAGGCAAGGCTGATGGTAAGCACAGTTGTTAAGAAGGAGAAGTTAGTGCTCTTTACCTCCTATCTTAGCTCTGCTTACATGCTGCCTAGCAAAGCTTTTAGTCCCTCTGTTGCTTTTCCCATTCTGACTTATGAAGGATATGTGGTAGATTCTTAGGCTCTATCTTTTACGTATCATTGACTATCAGTTGAGTCAATTAGAGCGTTAGACACAGTTGTTGTCTTCCCAGATAACCTCTTCTTTCCACCTGCCAGAATATTATTTTCTTTTGCATATTTCTACCTCAGCCTTCCTAGCTGATTGGTAGAATTATGTCAGCTTACACATATTAAGTTATATTTTAATTATGAAAATAGTTATTTAAGAAAATGAACAATGGTTCATTTTCCTATGATGTTTTGGACTTGATTTTCATACTATATAATGTGTAGCAACAATCATTAAATATACTGCAGAGAAAATGGAAGTACCTATTTGTGTTCTGTTTTTGTTATGTCATACTAATGAACCACTTTTTTATGATCATTCAGAAAATACATGTGACTTAATTTTTGTCTTCTTTTTCAACAGAAGGAGAATATATTAAAATGTTTATGAGAGGTCGGCCAATTACAATGTTTATTCCTTCTGATGTTGACAATTATGATGACATCAGAACAGAACAGCCTCCTGAGAAGCTCAAACTGGAGTGGGTGTATCCTTTTGTACCATGACAGAAAATATATTTGCCTTGTCTCTAGTTGAGAAGCATTAGTTTACCTAAACTCTATTAAAATTTTCTTTATTAAATTTACTTTTTTGGTATAAGTAGAGAATTGCAAAAATAAAAAGGCATATTCATCTCTACTCCTTTCTCATATATGTTCACTGTTAGCAATATAAAGCCATTTCCTTGGATAGCCACAAAGTGTTATTTTCCTTTCCACCATTTACTGTGATATATTTGATTTCATTACTGTATTCTCCATCGGAGCTAAAACTCCATGGAGATAGAGGATCCACATTTGTTTTGTTCACCACTGTATGTTCATTCTGATGTGTTAAGAACTCAAAATATATTTGATGAATGAGGAGAAACTAAGATTTAAACATATGAAAAGACTCAGAGTTGTACAGTGGGGTAATGATGGGATACAAGTTTTCTAATCCATTCCAGTCTTCTTCATTATACATTCTTGATACCCTTCACGTATCCATGAAACAATTACTAATTTAACACCTTGAAAATTATATTTATTAAAAACCTTAACTCTTTTTCTTTTAAGATATGGTTATAGAGGAAAGGACTGTCGAGCTAATGTTTACCTTCTTCCTACTGGGGAAATAGTTTATTTCATAGCATCAGTAGTAGTACTATTTAATTATGAGGAAAGAACTCAACGACACTACTTGGGTCATAAAGACTGTGTGAAATGGTGGGTATCGTTTTACATTTGTTAATTTTGCTCTGTCATGCTTTCATTTTTGTATTTTTTAAATTTAGGTTTTATAGGAAGTTATTTCATGTAGAGAGTTCAGAATTTAAAGATATTATGGGGCATTCTAGGAGCTCTGGTAGCATAGTGCCTAAAGCACTTGACTGCTAACCAGAAGGCTGGCGGTTCAAACCCACCAGCCACTCCTCGGAAGGAAGGTTGGGCAATCTACTTCCATAGTGATACTGCCTCGGAAACCCAAGGAGGGGTCACTATGAGTCGCGTCCAACTCGAGGGCACATAACAACAACAACAACATGGGGCATTCTATAAGGCGACAGTGGTGGTTCAGAGGTAGAATTCTCATATTCCACGAGAGGGATGCAGGTTTGAGCCCCAGTCAGTGCACCTCATGTGCAGCCACCACCTACCTGTCCTTGGCCACTTGAGTGTTGTTTTGATGCTGAGTAGGTTTGATGCTGAGATGAAGGTAGAAAGAAGGGCTGGCAATCTGTTTCTGAAAACCCCATGGATCACAATGATCTGATCGGCAACTCAGGTGTGGTGCAGGACTACAAAAAAAAAAACAAAAAAAAACAAAACTCAATGCTGTTGAGTCACATCCAACTCATAGCGACCCCTCCTTGGATTTCTGAGGCGGTATCACCATGGAGGTGGATTGCCCAACCTTCCTTCCAGGGAGTGGCTGGTGGCTTTGAACAGCCTTCTAGTTGGCAGTCAAATGCCTTAGGCGCTACGCCACCAGAGCGCCCATGGCGCAGGACTTGGGCAGCATTTTGTTCTGTTGTATATGGAGTCATATGAGTTGGGGGCCAACTCAGCAGCAGCAGCAGCTAGCAATAACAATGTGGGGAATTCTATTGAATATAATTTTAAAAGAAAAAATAACTTACAGGCCTCCAAAATAGTTTGTGTGGAATCAGCAATAAGAAAATACATCCTCCATAAATAGAGATTTGGACCACTTCTACTTTTTCAGATCCATTGTGTTTTTTTTCTTCTGGCCTGCAGTATCAAAATATATGTGGGACCCACTGGGTTTTTACACATTTCTGAATGTGATTATTGGTTTTTAAAGATAAACTTTGGGCTTAAGGAGTTCTTTGTTTGTTTGTTTTGTTTCGAGAAAGAAATCCTGTTTGAATAAGGATCATGAATATCAAACTGTAAAAATATGAGAACTTCTTTTTAAATGCTTAGGTGTGCTTTAAAATTGCTTAATAACTTTGTTACTTTTTAGTTAAATTCAGTCATTTATTACTTAAAGCCATTATTTTCTAACATTGAAAAGCATCTCTTCTTTTTGTTTATACTATTCTGGCAACTTTATCTTGAAATAAATTAACATGTAACTATTATGATATTATATAGACAGTGTTAAACTTCTAGAGATATTGAAATACTGCCTTATACACTTTAAAATAATACCTATACAACGTTATTTATTCCATCATTGTTTATGATGGTAAAGTTTGGAAACAACTGAAATATCTTTCAGTTGAAGACTAGTTAAGGTATACTATACTCAGGTTACTATACGAAAAAAGGTTACCATATATATATATAAAAAAGGAGCTCTGGTAGCGTAGTGCCTAAGGCACTTGACTGCTAACCAGATGGCTGGTGGTTCAAACCCACCAGCCACTCCTCAGAAGGAAGATGGGGCAATCTACCTCCGTAGTGATACTGCCTCGGAAACCCAAGAAGGGGTCGCTATGAGTTGGGTCTGACTTGACGGCACATAACAACAACAACAACAATAATGTATAAAAAAGGAGCTCAGGTAGCACAGTGCCTAAGGCACTTGACTGCTAACCAGAAGGCTGGCGGTTCAAAACCCACCAGCCACTCCTCAGAAGGAAAATTGGGCAATCCTACTTCTGTAGTGATAACTGCCTCGGAAACCCAAGGAAGGGTCGCTATAAGTTGGGGCCGACTCAACGGCACATAACAACAACAACAACATATATAAAAAAGAATGAGGAAGCTCTTCATATACTAATATGAAAAGATCCCTAAGATAAACATATTCTTAAATAAAATATTAAAGGGCAGAATAAAGTGCACAGTGTTCTATCATTTGTGTAAAGGTAAGGTGGAAAATATGTATTCATCCTGTCTTTTACATATGTAAAAATTTTCTAAAGTGATTAATAAAAAGAAACTAAGTATAGTGCTTACTGCTTATTTAGGGGAAAAAACGTAAAGGCAGATGGCATCTCAGTAAATGAGGATAGGATGGGAAAGAAACTTTGTTAAATATGTCTTTTTATGTTGTTGTTGTTGTTGTTTGCCATCGAGTTGGACCCGACTCATAGCGACCCCTCCTTGGGTTTCCGAGGCAGTATCATTACGGAAGTAGATTGCCCCATCTTCCTTCCGAGGAGCAGCTTTTGATATTTGAACCATGCAAATAGTATTACCTAATCTAGAAATTTCAATTTCAAAGCATTTTTAAAAACAGTATCTTATTTAAATATGGCAAAATGTAAAAGTGTTAGACTTTTAGTTATCTTTAATGTAGTTGACCTCAATAGATAAAGAACATAAACTATTTAAATAAGAGACAAGAAAATTAAAGAAACATTGATAAACTCTAGCCTAATCAAAAAGAGATTATTCGTATCAATCAAATTATCAAAGCATTCAAAAGATACAGTATTTAATATGGGGAAGTTGTAGTGAAACTTTTAAAACATTTTTTATGACAATTTAAATTGATTCTTCTCTTTTGGAAAGTAGTGAGCAATACATATCAAGAAACAAAATAATTTTTTTATATTCCACCAGTTGGTTGCAAGATATAGAAAGATTGTAGATGTAGACTTGGAAACATTTTTTTAAAATGTTTGCTAGTCATTCTTATGTGTATGATGAGCAATTTGGGTGTATATATTGTACTATTTTCAATTTTTATGAAAAAAAAAAATTCCTTGTCCCAAGTTTGAATTAAAAGAGTTTATTTAGCATTAAAAAATAATTTAAAAGGTTGGAGGCATTATGTGTGCAATGTTCAGTGCTGTTCTTTTGCAGAGAAGATGTTAAGTCTGTAGTAGTCATTAGAATTATGTAGCAAAATGGACAAATACATTTTTGTAGCAAAATGGACAAATACATTTTTAAAAAATAATATTGTGTTTTTGATGAAGGCTTACACAGCAATTTAGGTTCCCATTCAGCAATTTCTACACAGTTTCTTCACAGATTGGTCAGTGATATTGGTCACATTGTTTACAATATGTGAACATTCTCATATCCATTCTAATTGTTCTGTTTAAAAATGCTTGTTTTAATAGGTTAAAATCACAGATTGCAAAATTGCATCTTCACTATAATAAAAATGTGAACATGTGTAAGTGTATACACAGACTAGAAATGACCTTGAACAAATGAAAACTGTTTTATTTGTTAACATGCCTCAGTTGCAGGTTAGTATTTCTTTGAATTGGTGCCCCATTAATTTGTCTATTTAGTTTAACAAAGGAAAAAGTGCAACTGAAAGCTTAGGAAAAATCCTTCAGATAATGATATTTTATATGTGTTTGATTTGCTACAGAAAAATTAAAAAATTGTCAAAATGAGATTTATTTTGTGATTTAAAATTATTTCTGTTAGAAAAATGTTGGTTCAGAGGCAGATTTCTGCTATTTCACGTATTTCCTGTATTTAAAATTATTGTTAACACTGCTTTTTTAGCCTTGCTATACATCCTGACAAAATCAGGATTGCAACTGGACAAATAGCTGGAGTGGATAAAGATGGAAGGGTGAGTTATGCATTCTGCACCTAGTGAAATTGCTTTTGGAATGGAGTTGATTATAATTTTAATTAATTTATTTTGTTTATTATAATAATTTTTTCTTGTAAAATTTAACTACTAAAGAATTTCTAATGTAAGCAGGGAGGGAAAAAAAAAACAGTTAACAATGTAGGAACATTTCAAAAGACAAAACTCAAAAGAGAATTTTTTAAAAAATAAATGCTCCCTCTAAGGAAACTGTACTTGTAAAAATGGGAGGGCTAATATACTTATTACATTTTTCTTTATAAAGAATAATGTAATGGTTGCCAGCATCTACTGCATTTTCCCTTAGTTCATAGAGCTCTTTGTTGATGCATGACTGGAACTGACAGCACTGAAGAAATTTCATTTACTATTCAGTTTTATTAAATTGGTTTATAATAAGTCCCTTCTGTCTAATGATCAACAGCAAATACTAATCAATGATGAGTTTTTAGTATATGTATGACTGTATTTATGACATTCTGTGGCTTCATTTTCATTAAGAGAAAAGGAGTGGAGGGGGTTATATTGAATGACTTTCATGACTCAGTTCCAAATTCTTTTTTAAGGACTATTTTCTTAGCAATTTATTGGACACTTATTGTAAAATAAGTCCCTTTCTCCAGGATTGAAAATGGCAGTGTTAAAAGCAAGGTATCCATAGCAAGTTTGCTTGGATTGCAAATCTGATTCTGCCATTTAATAGCTTATTTTTTTAGATGTTTACCCATCCCTTTTACTTTATAAGGGAGCTCTGGTAGCATAGTGGCTAAGGCACTTGACTGCTAACCAGAAGGCTGGTGGTTCAAACCCACCAGACACTCCTTGGAAGGAAGGTTGGGCAAATAACTTCCATAGTGATACTGCCCCAGAAACCCAAGGAGGGGTCGCTATGAGTCGCGTCTGACTCGACGGCACATAACAACAACAACAGCAGCATTACTTTATAAAGATGACTGGCAGTTCTGAATGATTGTGGTGTTTATGTGCATACACCTGAGTACCATTTAGGAATCCCTGGGTGGCACAAGTGGTTAGGTGCTACACTACTAACCAAAAGATTGGTGGTTCAAAGCCTCCCAGAAGCACCTTGGAAGGAAGGCCTGGCAGTCTGCTTCCGAAGGGTCACTCCGTGGAAACCCCATGGAACACAGTTCCACTCTGCACACGTGTGGTCACCGTGAGTCAGATTCGACCCCATGGCAACTAGTAAAAAATACAAAAAATACATATATGCCATTTGGTCCTGCTTTCCTTTGTTTCTCCCTTTGTTTTTGCAGCCTCTTCAACCCCATGTCAGAGTGTGGGATTCTGTTAGTCTCTCCACACTGCAAGTTATTGGTCTTGGAACTTTTGAGCGTGGAGTAGGATGCCTGAGTTTTTCAAAAGCAGTGAGTAACAGTTTTTAAAGAAGTAAAACTGAACAGAGAAAGAGAAAAGAAGTTAAACTCAGCTTTGTGTGTGTATGTCCATGGAAAATTATAACTCTGAATTGGAAACATGAAATGTTAGCTGTTTTTTAACTCTGGCCAGCATCTTAACCTGAGTGCTAAAGTATTTTAGTTTAGATACAAAGCAAAATATTGTACTTAATTATACCCATTTTTGTTCTGTCTTGAATTAGGATTCCAGTGTAGTAGCAGGAAATAGAGGAATATGTACATAGCATATTACAGATTGAAACAAGCAATAAGGCATCCTTTTGTTATCAGCTTGGATCAGGAAATCTGTTTTATTTAGACCTGAAACTTTCCTAGTTCTACACAAATATTAACTTTTCTTGGTGTCATGTTACAGAAAAGGAAACAATCAAAACTTTGGGTTCACTACAATCATGAATTAGCCTGTTTTTTAATTGATGTACTGTGGGTTTTAAATTCAGTGTCTAGCAGTTTTATCTAAGGCTTAGGCTTTGTTCTTGGTGGGGAAGGAGGGAGAAAATGTTAACTCATTTAGACATTTGATTTCTTTTTGAGTTACATGTAATTATGATTATAGAGTAGTATATAGGAAATCTATATTTTAGGATCCATACCTTTTAATTTCAAATACAGATACCCCTCTAGATCTTATTGCGTCACATTTACGCTTTTAGAATCTGGTTACGCATTCACGTTTTCCCTTCAGTTCATAGCTGTCAGCAGCTATATTCTAGATTATGGGGGTTTGCACGTGGACAAGGAGGATGAAGGGACTCTTAAGGTAGAAAAGGTAATATGGGGTACACTTTGGAATTTTGTTTGCTTGAAGGCACTGAATATGTAAAGTACCAAAGACAGAAATTAGGAGAAAGGCAGTTAGCAAAGCAGGTAAAAGGACAGAAACCATTAGCAATACTTTTATTACTTTTGTTTTAAAAAATGTGTAACAGCAGTTGTCATTTTGTTGATACTGTTGTTAAGTGTTAAGATTATCCTGGATTGCTTCATACGCTTAACTTTTCCTAATTCAGTTAATCTTCCAGTTCAGGCTAAGGGAAAGGTAAAGAGAAGGGAGGAATCTTTGTTACTCCTCATTACATAACTCTTCACCACACTAAGGAGCTCTGGTGATTTAGTGCCTAAGGCACATGACTGCTAACCAGATGGCTGGCGGTTCAAACCCACCAGCCACTCCTCAGAAGGAAGGTTGGGCAATCTACTTCCGTAGTGATAGCGCCTCAGAAACCCAAGGAGGGGTTGCTGTGAGTCAGATCCGACTCCATGGCAGTGGGTTTGGGTTTTTTTTGGTTCTTAACCACCCTGTTTCTCTCTTGCATAGACATTATAAGATATATCACAAAGTGCATTTTAAAAAAAGAGACTCATTTAATATCACCCACAGTTCTTTTTCTTAAACTGGGAGACTTATATTATGTAAATTAAAATGGTTTCAGAAAAATAGAAAATACTCTTATTCATGTTCATATAAGTCAGGTATATCATGGAAAACTGAAATCACCAAACTTTAAATTAGCCATTAATTTTAGCTTATTCCATCAAATTATCAAAATTTACTCAGGAGCAAAATTTGAAATTATGTACATTATTTTCCATCCATCTCAAGGGAAAATAACTTTAGTACAGATAGCAAAAAGGTAGCGTAAAATGCAGAGCTAGGATATTCTCAAATGAATTATTTGCTATCTGAATAATAGAAGTGGCAAGATGGAAAATTAATCAACCCAGGAAAAAATTAAAAATAGGATTCTTTTTGAAAAAAGAATCTTAATTATGTTTATGAAGAAAATACAGTTTTAGTAAATAGTAGTCTCATGTTTCAAAGAGCCATGAGTTTAAAAGTTTTTTGATTATCTTAATTTTAACAGTTTCAATATGCTATTTATTTCTTTGAAAGGCAGCCTTATCCAAAAATTTTTAAATGCCTCTGACTTTTCCTTAGGACTCAGGTGTCTATTTATGTGTTATTGATGACTCCAATGAACATATGCTTACTGTATGGGATTTACAGAAAAAATCAAAAGTAGCAGAAATAAAGGTAAATCAATTTTTTTTTTTTAAATTGAATACTAATAAAACTACACTCATGTACCACTTCATATCCATTTGGCAAATATCTGACGGCAAGTATGTCTGTAGTCCTAACCCCTGTAAACCTTACTGTGTTAAAAATTCAAGGTCCATACAGTGGTTTGTAATAAACAAATGGGTGCTACTTTGCAATGCACATCAAGACATTATTGTTTTTGTTATTATTTTATTGTATAATGTTGTATTTTGTATTATTTATGTTAAAGGTGTTTTAGTGTATCAGGAAATGTTACTTTATTGTCTTTATGCATAGAAGGTACACTATATACTATATACAAAGACAGACGTTTGACTGATTGATATTAGATACAAACCATATCTAAGTGTTCTAATTTACATACCAGTTTGACTTAAAGACAGACTTAGGAATGGAACTCATTCATAATCCAGGGACTAACTATATAATATGGTGTTGTAACATCCTATTTCACAGAACCTATCATAGACATTAAGCAATGCTTGACTATATTTGTTTTATGGATCCTTAAGGCTTGCATATCCTTACATTTCAAGAGCATACCCACACTGACCAAATTTCTCAGGTTTATTGACATGTCATTATTATTACAGTGATGAGCTCTGATGGCATAGTGCCTAAGGCATTTGACTGCTAACCAAAAGGTTTGCAGTTCAAACCCACCAGCCACTCTGTGGAAGGAAGACTAGGCAATCTACTTCTGTAAAGATTTACTGCTTCGGAAACCCAAAGAGGGTTTCTGTGACTCGGAATCGACTCTGTGGCAGTGACTTTGATTTGTTTTAATTCTTATAGTATTACCAGCACAATTAGAAGTGGCAAGATGGAAAATTACAAGATAAAATAGGTAGCTTGAAACTATTTCAGTGAAATTTCAGACACGTGCTCCTGAAATGCTCAAGTGAATGGATACCCAATCTCAAAATTAGCTTCTGTGATAAAATATGTTATTTAGTTCCGTCTAGGAAGTTTTAAAAATCTAAAGGGGAGAAATTTAACCTCAGGACTATGGCTGGTAAGTTTTTTGTTCTGCATGGTTGTGGAATTGTGTTGTTCAGCATTACAGCATTTATAATTGTGATAGAATAGTATTGATCCCTTTGTGTGGGTCAGGCTAGAACTATAACTTATAAGAGAAAGTCTGTCAGCCTGTAGAGTCCCACATCAGATTCAGCCCAGATCTCTTAAAAGGTGTCTCATAGAAACTATATTTGTAGACATCTTTATTTGAATGTCCTCTCTTGTAAGTCAGAATCAATGTATCCAAATTTGTGCTAATCATTATCCCAGTCTCAAGCCAGTTTCTCCTCTTGAGTGATTGACACCACCACCTACCTAGTTGCCCAAGGTAGAAACGTGGCTATCATTCCTGACTCCTTTTCCCTCACTTCTCATATCTAGTCAGTGAGTGAGCTCTCTAAACTCCATATACTAAATGTTAATATTAGAATGCTTTCCATTGCAAGTGACTGCAAAATAACTAAGGTAACTTAAAACAGAATTTATTGATTCATGATATATAATGAGGAAAAGAAAGCATAGTGCCTGAGGCATTTGACTACTAACCAAAAGGCTGGTGGTTCAAATCCACCAGCCACCCCTTGGAAGGAAGGTTAGGCAATCTACTTCTGTAGTGATACCGCCTCAGAAACCCCAGGAGGGATTGCTGCGAGTTGGATCTGATGCTAGGCAGAGAGTTTTTTTTACATATATATATATATATATATATAATAACAGTCAGGGGCGGATTTTACCTCAGAAGTAACTTGATTCAGGGGTTAGATCACTGAATTCTCACTCTACCTTCTTACCTTCTCCCTGTGTTTTGACCTTTTATATACCACTATAGTAGAATTAACTGTAAATGAATTCTCTCCTTGATTAAGTCACAAGAATTTGGAGGAGTTCATGTATAAGTTTTTACTTTATGTATGTTTAAAATTAAGTTAAACAATTTCAAAATCTTACTGACAGAAATTAAGACCTTAAAAGATTGAGGGAGACTATAATCATGGATGGAAGACTCAATATTGCAAAGATACTACTTTTCTGCATATTTATCTATACTCAATAAGTTAGAATTCCAGCATGATTTTTATAGAACTTGACAAACTGAATATATGTGGAAATATGAAGGGGTAAGAAAAATCAAGGCAATCTTAAAGAAAAAGATTAAACTTGGAGATACCAAAACCACATAATTTTGTATTTATCGTCATTAAGACGTTGTGGTGTTGGTACAAGGATAGAAAAACAGCAATAGAAGAGACTGGAAAGTACAGAAACACCCACAAAAACAAATCAGTCACTTGATTTATGGCAAAATGTAACACTTGAGTGCAGTAGGGGAAAAATGAGGTTTTCAATGAATTATGCTAGATTAATTGGATATTCATATGGAAAAAATTACCTCACAGTATTCACAAGAAATTAGTTCTCAATGAATTATGGATCTGGGTGTGAAGAGGAAAGAAAAGGTTTTAGAAGAAAATATAGGAGAGCGTCTTCTTAAGCAGGTTTCATAAACAAGACACAGAGGCTACATCTGTAACCAAAATGGTTTAATGTCGTAGATATTTCTGTTTATATCGTGGGTGGTTATACTAGGAATATTTGTAATTTTCTAACCTTTGTTTATCTGGGGTTGTCATGAGATTAAATGGTTAAGAAGTTTCATCCAGGTTGAGGACTATTAAAGACTATTGAATTAATTTTTAAAAGATAGCATCATCTTGGAAGAGGGTGGGATCATCCTGGGATTAACACATCTTCAAATTTTACTTAAACCTGCTATGCATATATAGTTTCACACTAATCAGTGTGAGAACTGTACAACATGCAAAAGGTGCTGTACTTTTCTTTCAGTTTTTAAACCTGAATTCTAGCTACAAAAAGAGAAGCATTGAGATTAGATTTCCGTGTGTTTCATTTGTGTGTTTATGCAAAGGCACCTGAACCTAAATATTAGTAGTAAAAATGTAAAATTTGCAGAAATGTTGGAGCCATGAAAAAGGAAACAAATACTAGATCAACGCTTTCAAGTGCCATTTCTTACTTAATTTTTTTATTGTGATTTGGGTGAAAGTTTACAGAGCAAATCAATTTTCCATTCAACAATTCAAACATAATTTGTTTAATGAAAAATGTCATTCTTAAAATGTAAGAGCATAAAATATATTTTCTGTAGCTTGTTTTGTTTACAAGATTCCCATGTTGGCTTGCATTGAGAAAATGCTTTCATACACATAAAATTCTTCATCTTTGCTAAGTTAAGAAAATGGACATTAATAGCCAGTCCAGGTGCGTATCAGCTAACAATAAGCAGCTTGACAGGCATGTAGATTTCACTGCACTATTAAGTTTGAATATGTGATTTTTATCATAAACTATCAATTTAGTAAAAATGCAGTTATGATTTACTGAAATACTGTTTTAAAAATAATATCTTCAATTCAGATAAATTCAGTGAAAGAACTGTTCTTTTCATTCTCATGCCTGCTTTCTTCCTTTCTTCACTCCAGATCTTTAATTTTTTTTTTAAGGAACGGGGAGCTCTGGTAGCATAGTGCCTAAGGCACTTGACTGCTAACCAGAAGGCTGGCGGTTCAAACCCATCAGCCACTCCTCGGAAGGAAGATGGGGCAATCTACTTCTGTAGTGATACTGCATTGGCAACCCAAGGAGGGGTCGCTGTGAGTCGGCTCTGACTCGACGGCACGTAACAGCAGCAACAACAAGCATAAGATAACTTTTTTTCCATTTCTGCAAAAGTCAATAATGTCTGTCTATTTTTCAAGGCTTCAGTCTGAGGTACAAATGTCCATACTAGTATATTTTGTTGGATGAATGGGCCATAAAATTAGTACAAAGAAAGATGTTTTTTTCTTTTTTTTTTTTTGGTCAAAATGACAGTCTTTTAGACAGAATGTACATTGCACTTCAATTTCATGGTTTTAGTATACTTTTTCCCAAATGTGTAGGAAATTAAAATAATCTAAAACTAATTTCTAGAAATGTTTTCCTAATATAATTATTAGAAATATATAGCATCTAAGGTGATATAAAAGTCTAAGGACACCAAATGTAAGTCATTATTCAAAAAAATCTATTAAAATTTTTTAAGAGATACAGATCCTGGAAGAAAAGCCATTTTCTCAAATATTTTTCCCTTTCTTTGGTTTTCAATCATTGTAATTGGAAGTTGGCAAAAATAAGGATATACATTCATGTAAAACTTTGTTTTTTACAGACAACAAATGAAGTTGTTTTGGCTGTGGAATTCCATCCAACGGAGGCAAATACCATAATAACATGTGGCAAATCTCATATTTTTTTCTGGACTTGGAGTGGCAATTCACTCACAAGAAAACAGGGAATTTTTGGGGTAAGAATCAGATTGTTACAACTTCAGTAGTTTCGTAAAATCTAAATTTTTTATTATTGAGTAAGCATAAACTTATAATGCTAAAAGGGAAAACCTAAAACTTGTTTCATTGTAGAAATATGAAAAACCAAAATTTGTACAGTGTTTGGCATTCTTGGGAAACGGAGATGTTCTTACTGGAGACTCAGGTGGAATCATACTTATATGGAGCAAAACTACTGTAGAACCCACACCTGGGAAAGGGCCTAAAGGTACGGTATGCTCATATTAAAGTCATTGCTTTTAAATTTCACTTAGTGCTATTGCAGTTTCATCTCTTACCTGGCCTGGGGAAAGTGAGCTATAGTGGAACAGTTTAAGACTCACCAACATCCAACATGCCTTTTGTTTTTAAGGGTTGACCTTTATTTATTTATTTATTTATTGTTACTTTCTTGTATGTTGTTATTTATCCAGTTATTTATTATATAAATATTGCTTATATCGAATATACTGAATGCAGTAGAGCCCTTTCCCTTCACATGGTTATTACAAAAAATTAGAGTAGACATAGATATATGTTCATTTAAAAGTATAAAGGTTAACAGGGAAATCATCCTGGTCTTTTGTGTTTTCTGAAGGCTTCACACAAGAGATGATATTTAAGCTAAGCCATAATGAGTATACAAGACTGCAATAGATAGGGAACCTTGATTTAAGTTTTGAGAAAAATGCAAGATAAAAAATGATTGTCCAGTATCCAGGATATTGAGAGTACATTTGTCATGTAAAAATGTTAACAGAAATAAGAGATAGCGTACTTGAAGGAAATAAAATTTTAAAAAAAAATAGTGTTTTTTTTTCATTCCTCTTATCAGTGAAAATTCAAGTAGGGATTGAAGTACAATTTTCTGAGTCATCCATAAGAATTCTTAAAACTGAGTGAGGTCGCCATGGGAGAGAGAAGAGCTACAGGGGCTGAAGTGCCTTTAATCCTCCCACAGTTAGGTGACTGAAAAAGAGCCTGCAGGAATTGATGAAAGGAGGTTTATAAAGGAAAAAAGTTCACTGGACAGAACTCTGTTTAGTGCCACTGAACAACAGAGGAGAGAGTTTCTAGAAATAGCAGTGTTATAGGAAGGTGAAGAAGAAAAACTGAGGAAAGACCATTGGATTTGGTAGTTTGTGATTTCAGTAGAACATTGAGGCCCTGCAACAGATAAGCATAGAATAGCCAGTTTCTAAATGAAAAATTTTGAGTCTCCATGTTAAAAAATAGAATGGGAAGTAGAGAGTTACTAGAGTCTCAGTCAGTGATCTTTTCAAGGATGTCTACAACCTAAAAGTACAGTGGGAAGAGCCGATGGAAAGAGAGGGATTATAAATCTGAGAGAATGGGTGAATTGGGCATCAGAGAAAGGCTTGTGCTTATAAAAAAAGCAATAGCCTACATCTTATTTCAAGCCTGGAGCTTCAGAATGTAAGTGATGGAGGTCATAAAGAATCACTTTGCTCTCAGTAAAAGCAGTGTATGTTAAAACATCTATTAAAAAGATGTTGCTGATAGTGGATAATATGAGAACAATACTAATATAGAATTATAATAAAGAATCGATATGCTTGAACTGTGGTGTTGATAAAATGTTAAATACATTGGGGACTGCCAGAAGAAAAAACAAATCAGTCCTAGAAGAAATAACAACCAGAATGCTCCTTAGATGTGAATATGGCAAGACTTTTGCTTGCTTACTTTGCACACATCATCAGGAAAGACCAGTCCCTGAAAAGGACATCATGGTTGGTAAAGGAGAGGGTCATTGAAGGTGAGGGAGGTCCTCAGTCAGTTAGATTGACATGGTGGCCAAAACAGTGGACCTCAAACATAGCAATGATCATAAAGCTGGCTGGTCAGTATTTCATTCTGTTATACATATAAGGTTACCATGAGTTGGAGCTGATTCAGTGGCAACTGACAACAATAATATAATACAATAAAACACGACATAATCTGAATCTAGATTACTCAGAATTCTTAACAGTTTTAATTGGGATCTAGCTGGAACCCTTGATTTATCTATCCAAATCAGATTTATTAGAATGAATACAAAAACCAAAGACATAAAATTTAGAGGCATTATTTTCTAAGCAATTAGTGATTAAAATCATCCTTATTAACTCTGTAAAGCATGTGTCCAAGGAACTTTTCTTAACAGGCGTTGATTACCTTTTCTTTTATCAGCATAGTAATGACTACAGGATTAACTCTTCCCTGGGCTTGCTCTGGAGGAATCTGTGATGACAGAATGCATGGCATCTGATAGAATGGAAGAGGAGAGGAAAGAAGGATAAACTCAGAGTTCAGTCCCTATATCTTTTTTCTTTTTCTCACTGCAGTCCCTTTTGCCAGTCCTAGCACTAGATCTTAGCGGTCATTCAGCTTTACCCCAAATCTCAGAAATAATTTTATTGTTGGTAGGTGCTGTGGAGTTGGCTTTGACTCATAGAGACCCTGTGTACAACAGAACCAAACACTGCCCAGTTTTGCACCATCCTCACAACCCTTCCTGTGCTTCCACCCATCATTGCAGCCACCATGTCAATCCATCTTGTTAAGGGTCTTTCCCTTTTTTGCTGACCTCTACTTTTTTTTTTTTCCTTTTTTGCTGACCTCTACTTTTTTTTTTTTCCCCCTGCCAACCCTATACATGGTCATGGGCACACACTGACCCTCTGCTTTACCAAGCATGATATCCTTCTCCTGGGACTGGTCCCTTGTGACAACATGACCAAAATTCAAGAGACAAAGTCTGGCCATTCTCTCTTCCAAGGAGCATTCCGGCTGCACTTCCTCCAGGACGGATTTGTTCATTTTTCTAGCAGTCTGTGGTATTTTCCATATTCTTTGCCAGCACCACAATTCAAAGGCGTCAACTCTTCTTTGGTCTTTATTCATTTTCCAGTTTCCACATGCATATGAGGTGATTGAAAATACCATGGCTAGGTCAGGCACACCATAGCCTTCAGAGTAACATCTTTGCTCTCAACACTTACACTTCAAAGAGGTCTTTTGCACAGACTTTCCCAGTGCAATACGATACCTGATTTCCTGACTGCTGCTTCCATGGGTGTTGACTGTGGTTTCAAGTAAAATGAAATCCCTGACTACTTCAATCTTTTCTCTCCATTTATCATGATGTTGCTTATTGATCCAGTTATGAGGATTTTTGTTTTCTTTATGCTGAGGTGTAATCTATAATGAAGTCTTTGATCATCATCAGTAAGTGCTTGAAGTCCTGTTCACTTTCAGCAAGTAAGGTTGCGTCATCTGTGTATCACAGGTTGTTAATAGTTCTTCCTCCAATCCTAATACCATGTTCTTCATATAGTCTCGGATTATTTGCTCAGCATACAGATTGAATAAGTATGGTGAAAGAATACAATCCTGACACACTCGCTTCCTGATTGTAAACCATGCGGTATCCCCTAGTTCTGTTTGAAGGACAGCTTCCTGGTCTATGTACAGGTTCCTCATGAGCACAGTCAGGTGTTGTGGAATTCCTATTCTTTGCAGTGTGTCCATAATTTGTTATGATTCTTATAATCAAATGCTTTTGCATAGTCAATAAAACACAGGTAGACATCTTTCTGGTAATCTTTGCTTTCAGCTAAGATCCATCTGACATCAGCAGTGATACTCTTCATTCTACATCCTCTTCTGAATCCAGCTTGCATTTCTGGAAGCTCCCTGTCAATATATTGCTGGAATTATTTTTAACTTATCTTCAGCAAGGGTTTAAATTTGTGTATGATATTAATGGTATAGTTTGATAATTTCCACATTCTGTTGGATCATGTTTCTTTGGAATGGGCACAGATAAGAATCTCATCCAGTCAGTTGGCCAGCTAGCTGTCTTCCAAATTTCTTGGCATAAACAATTAAGTGCCTCCAGTTCAGCATCCATTTGTTGAAACATCTCAGTGGGTATTCCATCAATTCCTGGAGCCTTGTTTTTCACCAATTCCTTCAGTGCAGCTTGGACTTCTTCCTTCATTATCGTTGGTTCTTCATCATATGCTACCTCCTGAAATAGATGGACATTAACCAAGTCTTTTTGATACTGTGCTGAAATGAAAGAACTGAACAGAAGATTTCAAACACAGCTCGAGAAGACAAAGTATTATAATGAAATATGCAGAGCCTTGAGTTAGAAAACGAAAAGGGAGGAACACACACAGCATTTCTCAAGCTGAAAGTACTGAAGGAAAAATTCAGGTCTCGATTTACAATATTGATGTATCCTGTGGGCAAAATGTTGAATGATGCAAGAAAGATCAAAAGAAGCTAGGAGGAGCTGTATTAGTTCTCCTCAAAAATAAATTTATTCTTAAGTCCGAATTGCACCCAAAACACAGGTCTACCTCACCCTTTTCTGTGATTGTTGTTGTTGTTATATGCCATTTAGTCGGCCCCGACTCATAGCGACCCCTCCTTGGGTTTCCAAGGCAGTATCACTATGGAAGTAGATTGCCCAACCTTCCTTCC